GAGGTGTGCAGGGAGCGCGACGTGTGGAGAGAGGAAAGGGCCGAGGGGGGGCCTGGGCCCAGCATCACAGCACCCTGTCCCCATGACCCAGACACCACCCCTCAGGTCCGGCAAGACAGCAAGATGCAGTCCTCCCCCGCATGAACAGGAGGCCCGCAATCTCCCACTCCTGCTCCTTCCCCCTTTCTTCCACACCCCCCCCCTTTCCCCACCTTGCGGAACATCTGGGCGGGGACAACGTGCACCTCGTCCAGGATGATGAGCCCCCACTCCCGGTTCATGATCTCGTTCATCACGTTCTCGGACTCCTCGCTGCGCCTCCCCGAGTAGGCCACCATGGTGTAGGTGGTCACACAGACGCCCGCGGCCGCGGCAAACCACTCGTGGTTGGCCGACGTGAAGCGGCACACCTGGTCGTCCTGTGGGTGGGAGGGCGGGGGCATTGCTGAGCCGCGGTTGAGTCTCTTCTTGCCAGGCACATGGCAGGTGGCCATGCAACCCCTCATGCCCACGCCCCGCAGAGTCCTCCTCTCCTCCCCCCCACCACCTCACTCCCTCAATCCCCGGAAGACATACCCCACCCCCCTCACTCGCAGCGAGGTCCACATCTGGAACTGGTACTTCCACTGGTCCACCGACACGGCGTTGGTGCAGAGCACGAGGCAGGACTTCTTCATGCGCGCCGCGGCACTGACGCCCACCAGGCTCTTCCCCGCGCCGCAGGGCAGCACGATGATGCCGGAGCGGGCGCGGCCGTTGCCAAACATCTTTGCCAGCGACTTCTCCTGGTAGGGGCGGTGAGATACGTGGGGCCGCAGCTCCATGCTCAGCGTGGGGTTGGCCACGTCGCCGCGGAAGTCGTACTCCTCCAGCATGGGGTAGTTCAGCCCGCCGGGCAGGCACCGCTGCTTCACGTGCTCCACCTGGCGCGTGCAGGGAAGGAGGGAGGATGCAGGGTGGGCGGGGAGGGGAGGTGGCGCAGGCGTGTGGCAATGCATGCAAGATGGGCTCCATCCAGGATGCCTGGGTGCGGCATGGAGCAGCAAGAGCTGTGCGTCGCACCCCTCCATGCCCGGCCAGGTGGGGGGCGGCCCCATTGCCACACTGAAGGCCGGACAGGGCCTCTCACCCACCCACGCTCCCCTTCCCACCTGGGCTGCCTCGATCTCAAAGGCGTGCAACTCGCGGTCGGGGTCGATCTCCACCGGGTCAATCAGGTAGGCGGGGCCGGCCGGCGCGGCAGGAGCCTCGCCTTGGGAAGGTCCTCGAGCCGAAGCACTGGCCCCATCGGGGCCAGCCGCCTCCCCGCCACCTCGCCCCTCTTCAGCCTCCTCCCCCCCCGCCTCCACGTCCGTCTTGGCCAGGGTGGCGGCCGCGGCGTCGCGCACGGCCGCACTGACCTCGAAGCAATCGTCGGCGGCGCGCAGGACGCGCGCCGCGCGGATGACGGGGTCGTGCAGTAGGCGGCGCAGGACGGCGGGGTAGGGCGACTCCACGAAGAAGGCGTTGCGCTGGAGCACCAGCTTGACCTGGGCGCGTCCAGGGGAGTGGCGCCCGGGTTCCTGGGGCTGGGGATGCCCGGCGGCGCATCCATGCACCCCCGGATCCCCCCCCGCCCACCACCACCACGCACACGCACACACACCTTCCTCCCCCACGACATCCCCGCCGCCCCCCCCACCCCCCGCCTGGCAACACACCTTGCCGTAGTTCTCGGTGCTGGCCTCGATGAAGGCCCGAACCTCCGCCGGCAGCCCGCACTTGGACAGCCGGCCCAGCACCCCGACGATGGTGGGCGTGTCCAGGCCAATGGAAACCGCGGCGTACAGGGAGTGGGGCGTGAGCGCATACCTGAGGGGTTTCATTGGGTGGGGGATGTGTGACTGCGATTGGCACGGCCCTGTCCGGCCAGGGTCCCGACCCGGAGCCGCTCCCTTGGTTCGCTGCGGCGCCACGCACTCGTGGATGAACTCGGGGCGGGAGACCGGCTCGGCGCAGGCGATGAGGAAGTCGTAGGCCTGCTTGTAGACGCGGGAGAAGGTCTCCAGGAAGATCCTGCCGTCCGGGCACACCCACAGCGGCCTGGAGGTGGGGGGGGAGGGAGCAGAGATCGCGGGGGTGGTGTGGTGGCTTGGGACTCAGGGTTGGGGTGACAGTGGTGGCTGATGGGCATGGCAGCATGGAGCAGGGCTTCAGACAGACCGGGGCCGCTTCAGTGCCAGTGCACCCTTGGACTGCCCTCCTGGCATCCGCACCGCATGAACCCCTGCCCCTCGCCCCTGCTCAACACCCCCCCCTCACCTATTCGGGTGGTCTGGGCGCATGGGCAGGGACGAGAAGTTGGCAAACTTCTCGTCCTGGGCGCCCAGCACATAGCCCTGGCCGTCGGAGGCATATCCCTCCTCCAGGTCCCAGTCCACCTCCTCAGACGCCTGGCGGGCATGAAAGGGGTCGGATGGGAGTGCTCATCATGCCGAGCGGGGCACGTGCGCTGGCAACACATTCAGGCCGCTTGCTGGGGCTGTGGGGGCAAGCAGGCGCCAGGGCCCATGGGATGAGCGGGTACCCTGTGGGCTCGAGCCCGTAGCAGAAGTCAGCAAGCAAAGACGTGCATCTCGACCCTCATTCACTCGCCATGGACGGAGTACTGCGCTTGGTGGCGCGAGCGCCAGGCCTCCCTCGCCGCTGACTCGTGCCCGAGGCCTGGCCCCCACCGTCCGACTCCGCATCATCTGAGGCCACCCACTCCTCGTCCAGGTGCCGCTGCGACTGTACACAGGGGCGAGGCACCACATCAGGATGTTTTCATGATGAGCCCCATGCTCACCGCATCAATAAAGACACGTTTTGCCCAGCCTCTCACCCTCTGCCGTGCTGTCCGACGTGTGCCAGCCTCCCCCGAGGGCTGGGGCTGCTGGATGGAAGACACGTTCAGACGTACCACTGTGCAATGTAATGAGAGCTACGGGGTGTGATGCTGGGAGGTGGGCAGCAGCAGGGACACCCTGGCACCCCAGAGCCACGGCGCACACCCGTGCTGGGGCGGCCTTGAGCGTCTCCCGACATGGTCGTCCGCCTACCGCCGTTCACTGGGCCTTTTTAAACGTTTCATTTCTACATAATGACATACAGGTACCCCAATGAGGCGGTGCCTAGGTTTTACTGTATGATATGGGGCGTCCGTAAGTGATCGAGGGGAGCTTGTGTGAGCTCTTCGACAGACACCACCGCTCCTGCCACCGAGATTGCCAAACAGACTAATGCTGGATGCAATCATCCCTGCATTCCTGACCCCTCTTGCTCATCCTCCAGACACGAGGTCGCATGCACCCCCCCCGTGCTCCCCATGCTGGGCCTAGGTCGTATCCCTTTCCGACAAGCGTCGGAGGAGGGGGTCTGACTTCGTTCCAGGGACAGGCAAGAGCCCACATTTCTGCACCAATCTCCAGATACGCACACGGGTAGACTCTGTCGATTGCTCGCCGTCAGTGGCAGATTTACGCGGAAGGGGACTCACACGCCAGCAGCGTCAGCCTGGCGCTCCTCCCCTCCTCTGCTGGGACAGGCGCCCCTCGCGACATTGACCCCCGGCCATCCAGTCCCATAAATATCCTGACCGTCTGAAACACTGCCACCACGAGACTCAGCGGCCCGCAATGGCGAGTTCGTCCCCGAATAAGCGGCGAGAGATGGACCTCTATAAATTGAGTGAGTGTGGGCAACCTTCTCGATGCCCCGACACGCCTGTACAGAGGCCCCTGGCATCCGCAGCACCGCTCTGACCACACATCACGAACCTCTCGCAGTGATGACAGACTATAAGGTGGAGCTGATCGACGACAATGTGTCCACCTTTGACGTGGAGTTCAAAGGCCCTGCCGACAGTGAGTCTCCATGGAAGGGTGTGATAGCATCAATGGTCACGGTAGTTCATTCTTTCATTGCTATGCCTGTGTGAGGGGAAATGTGGACGGGTGAGGTCTGTGGCTGCGGAGCCAGACTGCGACCATTCAACCCTGGATCGTTACGAAAACAACTACACTGGGCGGGGCCCCCGCCATTCGTCCCCTCCCTTCACACTCCCTCTTCCCCCTCTGCAGGCCCCTATGAGGGCGGCGTGTGGAGGGTCCATGTGGAGCTCCCCGAGGCATACCCGTACAAGTCCCCCAGCATAGGCTTTGTTAACAAGATCTTCCACCCCAACATCGACGAGGGCGCCGGATCCGTGTGCCTCGACGTCATCAACCAGACATGGAGCCCCATGTTTGGTGAGGAGGGGCGGCAGATGTGTTCATGTCATAGGATTCCAGAGCAGGGGGTGCATGCCGCGGCAGGTGTTTGGCGGCTGCTTGCGGCCCGTCCCTCTGTGTATTCCCCAACCGCTGCCCCCAGGACAGGCCGCCCTGCCCATCACCAGCCACCTCCCCCTCCCCCCGCACAGACCTGGTGAACATCTTCGAGGTCTTCCTGCCCCAGCTGCTGCTCTACCCCAACGCGGCCGACCCGCTCAACGGCGAGGCGGCTGCCCTGCATATGCGGGACCCGGCCGCCTACATCAAGCGCGTGCGGGAGCATGTGCTGCGGCACGCCCAGCCGTCGGACGCGACTAAGCACTGGGACGGCCCGGGGTCAAAGCAGGGCAGCGGGGACGAGGGCTCGTCCGACGGCTTCCTGTCCAGCAGCGACGACGAGGGGCCGCCGGAGGAGCGCATGGAGCTATGACCCCGGCCGCGCCACGCGGCACATGTACACTCACATGGCTGAACTCCGCTGCTGGCCTTCCCTTTCCCCCTGTTTTCATGAACCTGCAGCAGGCCCTCGTCCCTCAAGGAAATGTTCCCGCTGGCACCACAACCCCTTGCCTGCTTGCCTCGATCGGGACCGCCGCTCCGCGTCACGCACGGCGCCTGCTGTGGAAATCCAGGCGTATGATCGCATGGGTTGCAACCAGTCATCCGAGAGCAAAAGGCAAGCGCGGGGGGGGCGGGGCACACCAGTGGACACATCTGAGGAAACATGCTGGCGGGGG